TAAAATCGACCCAGATTTTATTTTTTATTAAAAAACATACCACATGATTGATAAACTTGAATACTGATCAAATGATATTCTATTTTTTTAGTACGAGTTTTTCATCTCTAAATCATTTTATCATAAGTCATAATTCTAGAAGGGGAAGGTTTACTGTTGAAAAAGAAACAAAAATAATAGATTTTTTGAAGATTCATTCTTATTTATCACCTGATTTAATTTCAGCACAATGCATTGTTTGGGAAGCTGCAAGTCAATATGATACCATTATGTGAAGACTGTAATATATCAGTTGAAAATAAATTTGTAAAATCAAGTAAGTTGAATAATAAGCTTTTATCCATAAATATTAGCGCCAATAAAATTATAAAAATTTTTTGATTGAAATCCCCCGGTGAATCGAAATCCAAATTCGACATTCTCCACATTTAATTATGAAACAGAAGATGGATGAAGACTTTAGTGAATTAATGGCGCGTTTAACAGTGCAGGAGCAAGGTAGTTATTCTTAGAGCTTAAGAATATTTTTATTCTTCATTGCTTCTTGTAACAACTCTGTAACCATTTGTGTTTGTAGACATAGATCCTATAAAAGTATCTTTACAGGACCTGTTCGATGAACACTATATCAAACCGGGGGATATTTTATATTATGAGAAAACTATCGATGACACAACATTAACATATCAGTGTAAAGTTTGTATTATTTTCTGCCCTTATTCAAAAACGTTATTAATATTATCCCTCTAACTTTGCTGTTAATCGATCTCGGGGTAGCGGTAGTGCTTATGAATATTTTTCCATCATACGAGATGATGAAAACATAGGAAAAATTTCTGAGTTAAGAAAACAATATGTAGGAGATCATAAAATAGTAAAGAACCCATAGAATATGTACTATATTTAGCATGTGCCACATGCATTAATAAAAGATTCGTTTTTCTGGGCATGTGATTTTATATAACCGCAGTATATCTATTTGCAACGCAATACAATCTATTAATAAAACCCTGAGTCATAAACTCGCCTTTGAGCTTCGTCATGTTTTTTGCTCGAAAGTTCTGGCATATATGTTCATAACGCAACCTTGAATTATTAATAAAAAACCAGATCTCGGAATGAACGTATTATGCTGTTGACTTTAGCACATCCAATATTACGCGTATACACTATTATTCCGATTTTTTTTCCTTTTTGCGAATACATAGAATAGGGGTGGGGTGACACATTTTCAATGGAATAGGAGCAATCACTAATATGTCGTCGACCAGATCTTCGTGATGCGATCATCCAAAGGCGTATTCCAAAAGCCCTGTCGATTCTAGACCCTGTGTTAAATTATATAAAG